GCCCCTCTTGACACATTTCCCTCACATGAATCCATCTCTTGGTTCTTTACTTCTAATTTCTTCCTGGCGTCGACCACACACATTTCTATAAAACTAATAACATATATCGTCCTTTTTTTTTTTTTTGGTCAAACATATATAGTCCTCTAATTGCTACAAGTCCGAGATAGGTGTATACATGATAGAGTGATAAAGCCATAAAATTAATTATGTTGAGTGGATTGAAAGTGAAACTATATATCTCAGATTTGGGAGCGTTTGGACAAACAATTTATAGAATAACATAGATATTTAAAATATATTGATAAATGTCGAATTTTGTTTACGTCTCAGTGATGAGGTTTGAAACGAACTCAAGATTTACAATCCATATAAAATATGCAAAATTGACCCATTATTTTCACAAACAACAAGACCAATCGACTACATATTAGTGGGGTATTTACAAATTTATTGGGAAAATTGTGTAAATCGATGATGTTTACCGTTTACGTACTCCTACGTGGAAAGTTGGAACGAGTTATTTGAATTACTGTGAAACTATGCTTTGTGATCTGATCATTTGCAACCAATCTCGATTAAGAGAGAACATAGTAACTTATAAGATTATCAAAACGTATCAATTTATGATAAAGAAAACAAAAAAAATACTATTGAACTATATGAAACATAGTTACAAATATTATCAATTAAAAAAACTATTACACGAAACCAATTATGATTTCCATTTTCAAATTTCATATATTTGGTTATTTTTAAAATAGTTATAAATTTAATTTAAAACCACTATCATTTATTTGGTCATATAATCCTAAATGTTAAGTGGTAGACATTTTACATATTATTTAGGTATTATAATTAAGAGAAATGAATTATAGACGAAATTACCCGTCTGACACACAACAAAGCGAACAGTACAATTTGACATAAAACAGGAATGACATGATATTTTTGCTTTTTGATTATTTTATCTTTTATCAATTTGTTTTCCGATTTCCTATTGATATGATCTAATGTTTATTATTAGAATAAATTCATTTCATAATCTATGTGTAGAAAACAACATGACCTTTTTCTATATATGTTACATTTTAAAAGTTTAGAAATTGATATATATATATATATATATTACTCAAACTATTAATATAGTGCTATAATAAACGAAA